ATTGAATTCGTGCCCTGCCAAATTTGAAGCTAAGAGTTAGCGTTAATTTTTCAATTGATCCAAAGTCCTATTTGGAGTTTGCACTTTGGATTTTTGTTAATTTGCTGTTGAAGTTCATTAACAAATTCACTTGCTGTGTTGTATTAGAAACAAATAATTCATTCATACGGTTGAACTCGTACACTAGTTAGCATTCATTAGCCAACTGTCCCAATGTCGTACTTAATTTGTATGTTAATTTGCTGTGAAAGTTCATTACCAAATTTACTTGCTGTGTTATTAGAACGAAATCATAAACCAGCTGTAGAATAATTGAATTATATTTTTAAACTTTTTTTTTTTAATTGTTAAATTTGAATACTATTCTCTTGTGGAGACATTATTTATTGTATGATTTTATTTCTTTCTTGAAGCATCAAGCTAATGTTACTCAAGGTTTGCTAAGTCAGGATCTGTCATTCAACTCTGTGCACAGGAGCCATATTGTGGATTAAATGGGTCTATAACTAGATCTCCGATTGATAAATGGTTTTTAGCTGAGAAAAGTCGCTACTGACGCAACATTCTAGGTAACCGTCAGGCTAAAGAGCCTGAGTTATAGTAAGGTATCGTTCTTCAGGAGAACAGAGTTTAGGTTGCTAGTAAGATAGTGGGGTCGACATGGACTGCGTTATCAACTTAACAAAGTGGATCTGTCCGAGGAGATAGATTGTCGACTCTGCTTACAAGCAGACGAGACTTTCAGTCACAATCTTTGTGACTGCCCAGCCTTGATCTGGGGCAGGAGGAGGTCACTGGGTCGAGAACTACTCTCTCCTTCTGACATTAGCAGGTCCTCAGCGGTCGACATTCTGGCTTTAATTCGGAAGGTGGAGTGTCGTCTATTCGGTTAGGGTCGGTTGCAGCATAAAAGATCAACTATGGTTGCAGTACTTCGCTTCGTTGGTAGCTGGTACCCTGTTTAATTCTATTCTATTTTACTCTAACATTTGTACAAGCAAGACTGTAAATTGAATGTATTTTTTATTTATATTAATTCCATTATAGTTTTATATTAAATTTGTTTTTAACGTCAACATGATTTTGATATGAATTTTTGTTGTTGTAGTTCAATACTTTTCGAAACCTCTCTATCAATTTTTTAGGCTAACAAAATAAAGAAGTAATATAACCTTTAATAATTAACCATAGTCTCTAATACAAATAATAAAAATGCTTTAAATTAAAACTGAAAAATAATATATAAAGTGTTAAATAAATAAAAATAATAGAAGGGAAATAATTCCAGTATCTCTAAATTATTTGCAACTGTGCAGCAACCAGTAGAAAATATCTACTAAATTGAAGCATTCATCTTTTTAAATTGCAAATAGTAAAAGTTATTACAATGGGCAATTTCTTGGCAAAACAAGATAAATAACAAATGTTGAAAATATCCTGTGAAACAAGTGGAAAGTGTGCGCATCTGAAGTGCATAAATGTGCTTTATCTGATCATTATGACACTCTGTTGCACACAGCGTAAAATATGTTTCTGTCACCGAATGTGTTAGTTGAGGACTCGGTGGATGTGCAGCACATGTGCTACTTTAGGTGTTGAATTGTCCCTGATATGTGCAGTAAAAAAGAAACTGAAACTGCAGTTTAAGACATTAAAAGTAATGAATCGAAAATATTTAGCTTCAAGGATGTGCATGAAGGAATATAAAACAGTTCTTCGTTTAATATTTGATAAAATAATAAAAATATATAAAATTGTTAAAACAGACATTCACGAAGCAGAAACAGTAAATAAGAACTTAATAAGAGAATCTTTATTATTATGGAAGGATAAAAATAAAATGAAAAGTTAAACAAATATGCACACGTAAGCAAGTGCACAATGAAGTGTAAAAGTTCCATACAAAATGTGAACACAATGGAAACACTTTTGTAGGCGGACACGGAAGGAAGCCTGATATAGTAGACAATGGAGACTTAAAAAAAACTCAAACTTAACAGTTTTCGAATAGATATTGTAACAAAAGTGCTTAGTATTCAATATCACAAGATAAATAAAACAAAAGTAATATAAAAATAAAGTTAAGATGAAAGCTAATAAAATAATTTTGCATATATAAATATTTAAATTTTTATGTAATTGAAAATAATATATTTCAAGTAAAACATAGTCAAACATTGTTTTCACAGTCAATAAAGTTAATTAAATTAGAATACAAATTCATAAATATATATTTATTAGACATAATATACCATAACTATAAGACATATCTATGTGGCTCATGAGTATATGAAG